ATGGGCACTAGCCAAATAACAACGACATTGGATAATAGTTAACTATTTTACTGTCCTAAAACATACAACATAAGATATAAACCAATTGCTTCATTGCAGTTAGAAATTGGCTAGAATCTTATAAACCTTATTATAGAAAGCAATTTTTCTCATAAATAGCAGATTATCGGGTCAGATTTGGTTCTTTATTGACCTACCATTAAATAAAGATGTACAATCAACTCAATGTGAAATCTAACCTTCCTACATCCTCAGATTAGACTAGTTGTGTTTTGTTACATTAATAATTTATGATTGATTTAATATTATAATATTTAATGTACATTTATAATATTTGTGTATAATATTTAATGTACATTTATAAATATATTGTGGTTTGTCTATAACTTTAGATTATGTGAAAATTGTTTCGAGATTGTTGTCACAGTACCTACATATTCCACAGTATTTCTGCACCTTTCGTAATAATATCGTAATACTATGTAATCCATTATACAATGGCCACATCAAAGGTTTAATATAACTTGATGTTATAGCGAAAGGGAATACGATACTTTCTCGCGTCAGACGAATCCTTTCACCAATCCATCTTTAAAAATAAAATATCTTATCATAATAAACATATAATACACTTAAAAACAACTACATAAGAACTAAAATTAGAAAGCAAAACATCCAAAGCCAATTTAAAGTATGTTATCGATAAGCAAAAGAAACAAATCTGCGGCTTCCGCGTGGGCTCGGAACCAACAATTACTTTAATTTATAATTAAACGTGATGAATGAAAGTGTGTGAAATTACAAAGAAATTAATATTAGATCCATCAATGTGTTACGACAGGTTCTATAGGTTATGACCTACAAACAATAATATAATCACTATTCAAGATTAATATTTAAACAAACAATGCAATTACTGTACTCTACAATTATTCATATTAAGGCACTATTATGTATCGAAGTTCAATATTTGGTTTATTCAAAAACTATACAAGCAACATCTTACTTATAACAATATTAATCCTACAAACTTGGGTACACTACAAACAGACTACAGACATAGGTTGTATGTCACTGAGGCTCTAGAGAATAATCATTCCGGTATTGCGTTTCATTCAGTTCACGAAAGAACCTGTGTATCATAGCCTAGTCAGACCTCGATTTCCTTTTCCACAGGCTTACTTTTTCTACATAGTGAAGCTTTAGTGCAGCCGCCAAAAGCATGTGCGTACAAGAGATGTTCCTATATCTTTTGTGTAACATAAAGCGGTGATATTTTCTCGTGTAAATTGCATAATATTGTTTTCAATTGATTGCTATTATGAGGCGCAAAAAAGACATGCAAAGTAATATTTACAGTATACTTCGAAAATCGACGAGATGTTCTCAATTAAAATGAAAGAGCCCCACTTAGTTGTCGCGATAACTAAGAAAATTTCAAAATATAAAACAAAGATTTATCTGTTTCTCCCATGGAGTAGGCCTCTTAATGCAGTTTGAGGTAGATACCAAATTTCAAAATAAACCGAATGACCTAAAGTTGTAATTTCTTAAATATAACAAGATAATACACATGATTTTAATTTGACTATAAAAGATATAGATTTTGAAACTAACCAGACATATAGGTTTTTATTTGATACCTAAATTTTAAATAGGTAAAAAGGAAGGGGGATTGTCTATAAAACAGATTTGTGCAAATATTTTAAGAAGAAATCGAAACTTCCATCTCGATAAATTGTATGTCATGTTTAAGATTTCTCATAAATATGATTGTATGAGGGCGCACACGCGCAGTTCTTGCATACGTTTTGCATTAATAATGTTATGTGATTAGAACTATCTACAAGGATATTAAAATGAGTTGACATAACACGATGAACCGGAAAAGTTTTATAGGGAAATAAATTTTATGTCTTTACTTACGTTTTCCAAACTTTCTCTTACCAGGACTACAACTTTGAGCTACCTATTATAATACTTTAACAATTAATAAATAAGACATTATATTTGGCAAAAAAAAATAATACTTTAGCCCACTTTCCTATCTATTCTACTCTAGAATATTACTCTACATTGTCATATAATATATTCCCATTAAGATCTCTCTCAATCATCATCATTGTCAGCCCTTTTACGTGCCCACTGCAGAGACTCAGGCCTTCCTTATAGATAGTTAAGGAGGATGGGCTATGATTTTCCACTTGATTGGAGGGCATTTACAACAGCAAATGCATCCGAGACCAAGGGCCAAGTTGCTTAACAGCCGCGATCGCGGGCCGCGGCGCTTATCCACTACGCCACCAAGCTACTCCTCAATTATATTTAAAACAGTATCACATAATACATTGGATTGAAAATGTATTCAAATCTTTAGTTATATATAGCTTATTTAAAGCCATATAACCCGTTTAAAAAAAGTAAATATAAAATTGTATTACGATGAATGGTTTCAACACTGCAATAAAAAGTTTCTTTATCATGTGACGGTAAACGTACAGGTTTGCTATTTTCAAAAAAAAATCAACGTCGAATCAAATAAAATCGACTTCAAAAGCTTTATTACAGCTTTTATTTTATTGAATCTCTACAGTGCGATTTTACTTTACTATTTTTATAGAATAGCAAACTAGATTGCCTTATATTAACATAACACTGATAATGATAAGATAAAAGATGTTGCTCGTTTTTTATCGAGATGTAACCTTAAATAAGAATGATAATTACAAGAACGTGCAAGTTATCTTTTTATATATATTTTTGAAAAGCTATGGATAATCCTTGTATTCACAATACTATTGAATTATTATAGAAAAATATTTACAAAATATCAACCGTCTCCGGTGCTATAACCGGTAACCATTCGCTAACCGGACCAATGCTCAACTAATGAGGAAGTATTCATTAAAAATATAGTATTAATTCTCCAAATCACATATTACGGAAATCTGAAATAACGTAGGTACTAAAACATGCAGACCCGATATGATACAGATTTCCCTCATTTTATTTTATTGAGCTAATTTTCTACATTGACCCGTGAGGGAGTTGAACCCGCGACCTCAGAGATGGCACCTTGAAGTCAGCGTTCGAACCAAACGGCCACGGAGGTTGTCAAAAATAAAAAATATTCCTTTGAGCTATCACAGCCGATCGAGACTATCGACCCTAAAGCACTAGTTGCTTTCTATGTGTGACTGAATATCTGAAAGAAATATTATTACAAATATTTCAAATTTCAATTAAATAGTTACAATTATTGATACATATGCTGAAGTTCCTGAGAAGTATTTAAATTGAAGTCAATACAAATATATAGCTAGGTCAATAACTAGAGCAGTCAACCGGTTAGCGAAAAGTGACGTGTTCTAATATTTCCTAGTCCTATAAACATTACATAGATTTAATAGGCAGTGTAGAAGTGGTGCGTGAAACATGGTGCTATGTGAATAATTAACCAATCATCATAATCATCATCACCAGCCCTTTTACGTCCCCACTGCAGGGGCTCAGGCCTTCTTTATGGATGGTTAAAGAGGATGGGCCATGACGCATCACGCTGGCCCAATGCGGATTGGAGGGTATTAACGACTGCAAATGAAGCCGAGACCAACGGCTTAAAGTGCCTTCCGAAGCACAGAGTAGCTCGAGATAATAATATTTGGTCACCCATCCCGTGACCGACCCTTGCGAAAGTTGCTTAACGACTACGATCGCGGGCCGCGGCGCTTATCCTCTACGCCACCGAGTTACTCTTTACTACTTACTCTTTTTAATTAACCAATGCTTTTCATAAAATTAATGAACGGATGAAACATTAATTCAACACACCATTTACATTAGAATAGATCTCGATGGCGCAGCAGATAACGCGTTCGGTCTACGATGCGGAAGTTAAGCATCTTTCGCAAGGAGCGGCCATGGACGCAAGATGGGTAACCTAAAATATAATATGTCGATCTCCTCCGTACTTCGGAAGGTACGTTAAGCCGTTGGTTTTGGGATCACCAATCCGCTTCGGACCCACGTGTTGGATTATAGCCCAACCCTAATCCCTTCTGTTTTTTTTTAAATTTATTAATTAAATTTTTTGTTATCATTGTTTTTTTTTTTATTTTATTTGAATTATAATTCTTCTATTTATTGCATACGTGTACTATTTAAGTGTTGTGTGCAGCAGTAATAGGAAAGCAAATTAGCATGAAATTAATTTATAGTATCTAATTGTAAATGGGTGGATTTAATTTGTATTCTGTTGCTGTACCATAATTAAATAAAAATAATTGAGATTCCATCCATGGGAAAGCCAGTGTCCCAGCAGTGGGGACATTAATAGGCTTATTATCATTCATTCGTTCATAATATAACACAGCACTAGAATTTGAATTTCTAGTGGGTGTATCTAAAATGCTCCAGCTCGACATAACCCGAAGATGACTGCAGCAGCGATAGATTTAATAACTCTTGAATGGAGTTAAAGAGGACATTTTGTAACGGTGTGCCGTACTACCGTTTATTTAGTCCTAGGTTTTGAATATGCAAACTTTTTGTATTTGATATTCAACATTCTTTTTATTATTCACCTTTCGTAAGTAGAAAATTTTGACTAAACAAATATGCTCTCTATAAATGTCTGTTCGTAAAAAAATCTTCTGTTGTGAAGATGTAAATCGTATAAATTTAAAAATATAAATATTATAATTATGAAAATATGTGACTAAAATAGAATATATAAAATTATATCCTGTAATAGCGCCCAAGTTTTTATTAAGAAACCCAAAAAGGGTTTCTTTTCTTTACCCATTATTACCATAAAATAAATAAATTCTCAAGCTAGTCAGCCTTTCTTTAATTCGCCCAAGCATCGAACCCGTCACAATTGAAACTAGTTAGTATAAGATGTAGTTTATACATTATTATAAGATGTTTAGATCCTATATATGCTCTGTTGTCACTAAGCTGTGATATATAAATAATTTCTCTATAATAAATTGTCTTACCAGCCGGTACTTTGTCTGACTGAGCTCGTGTGCCCGCGATGTCCGTTGCGGCGTCATTACCCACTTCTACATCTGTAAGTACAACATCACACAACTTCTAAAAAATGTAGCCTGTACCTGCGGCATGAGTGATCAAATGGAAAAAGCAAAGAGGTTTTATTCAAAGCCTAAAACTCTCCATCCTCTTAACCATGTCCACATAACAATATTTTTAATAAATAATATAACTGACTGATAGGGTTCTTTATTATGCTTTCCTGAGTTTTTATTATTGTACTGATTGCATTTGTTGATCAGTGTTTGACCTACAATTTATAAGGATTTAAATAAATGACTGATTAAAAAGTCATTATATCAGAACACAAGCGCCACAGTTAAAATGTTTATGTGACTAATAATAAACATTTTTTTTTTGTTCTCGTTTTGTTTCCGTCATATATGCTTTATAATATTAATGTCATCTATTAGTTACTTTGACGTTTAATACAAAGTTTTTTCAAACTATAGGTACATAATTAAACAAAGGTTACGCCTGCCTAATGTGTTTTATTAAATAAAACATCCCAATTAGTAACCTTCGAGATCAAACAAGGAAATAAATGTAAGTTACCAATTTCCGTAATTAAGTTATACCTATAAAGGTGAACGTCCACTGATCAGCACCGGTTTCAACGCTAGCACCGCATGATATGCAACGGATTTTCTATTATAACTTCATTTGTATAGGGAATAATATGCAAATCTCCGTGCAAATAACCGGTAAGAATGAATATTTTAAGTAGGACACCTCACTATAAATTTCAGATTGAAAAATGTCAAATGTGGCTTCATATAACCCGACTATACCTTTACATTTCCAAATGAAATCTTTAGATTTATCACTTAAACACTAGTGATTTTGCTAGATTTATGTAAATGAAAATGTTTCTGTTATTGTTCGGACTTTTATTTTTTCCAAATGAGTTGCTCTTTTCATTATGATATCAAAATGTGCAGCACTCATTTTTATATTTGGAAAAAATAGACTCATTTTTTTTAGTAATTAATTTCACCATTCTCGTTACTTATTGTATTGACGTTTGACGTTTATAAAAAGTTGTTTACTATTTGTGCTGGTGCTTCTTTCTGGCGACAGAAAGTTGCAGGAATACTTTCCATTAGTACCTACAGACCTGCGTCCACTCACAGCCGTAAGAACGGAAACAGATTATCAACAACTCAAACCATTAGATAGAAAAAAAATACATTTATTGGCCATACCTGACAGTGGCCATTCATACATATGGTAAAACATTTATTGACGAGCGGTGGCTTGTGTTACGGTGCTGATAATTCTGGCAAAGGTATGTGTGGTTGACGTTACCATACTATTTATAGAAACTTTAACCAAGTTGCGAACTATATCATGGGCACACTAATAATTTTTTGTTCTTATATAAAGGCAGTCGATGTGTCCCGGTATGGTTATCCGTTGCGTATTGTGTTAAGCGTGCGTTGCGGCCGGTGCGGACCAGTGGACATTCACCATAAACTATAGTTCAAACATTCGAAGATCATCATTAAAGGAGTGTTCTAATTGGCTAATAATCGTAAAAGCTAAAGTGCGATTTCGTCGTGCGGTGGTATAACAGGTATCCTACCCCTAGTGCGGGTATAGACAGAATACGAAAATAAATCCATATTTTTTCTGGTAGTGTTTTATATACTTATTATATAGTTTAAATTAATTATGAAAAAACTAATATTTTATACTCGCTGTCGCGTGACCGCAAACAGCGCGTGACGTCACGACCCTCTTACTCATAGCAGAATTCAACTTTATGCGTATGTAGAACGATATTATTTCAGAGGGCCTTGACGTCTTAGCGACGTCATGACAAAAGTGGTGATTTCGCGGGAAATTTTGAAATATTTTTTTTTTATTTTACTTACTTATTTCTAAAAATATTTCAATATTTATTATATGAATGATTCACATAAATGAATGATACTTTCATTCATATAAGTACTGAAGTATTTTATTCGGATATATTTCATGTATATCTAAAAAATAAAATATGAAAAACGTTTTCTACACCCTTATTGTTTGTACGATATTCTTACAATCTTCTCTTATTGACTGCCATGGCTGTGATGCCAAAACACTTCCAGTACATGCACTAGTACATGTGACGCGAAAACTATATTACAATTATTATCATGCAAATATTCCGCTCCTACTATGATTTATTAGCTTTAATTAGACATACAAAAGGATTTGTCTGATTAATTTCTTCAAACGTTTGCTTGCAGTAACATGGTTTTGGTGAATGTCATTACTCCTATTAGAGCTGAGTGAGTTTCTTGCTCATTCTTCTTATCAGCCAAAAGACGTCCTGAACGAGTGCTAGGGGAAAATGTTGGACGATTCAAAATTACTTTTAAGAAGTCTACTTGAATAAAGATTATTTTGAATTTTTTGACTTTATACGCATCTTAAACTATCGATTCGGTGATTGCTTACATTTAAATGTAAGCCATCAGAATACATTTGTATCCTGTTTAGTATTTTATCGACAACTGTCATTCGTTTTCGTGTAGTAACTGCCGCGTTAGTGGCGCTTTTTTAAATATTATTATATGAATTAAAATGCAAATTAATTTTTAAATAATTACCAGTATGGATAATTATTCAGTGAAATAAAAATCTTTATCTATTTATAAATTATAGTGAAGGTATTTAAACTTAAAGTGAAAATGTCATGTTTTAGTCAGAATAAAGATGTGAAAATGAAAGAGAAAAGGAAATTATTTACTAATCTGTTGCAGTTAAGATCATTAACTACCGAGGTCATTTTTCACGTCATTTATCATAATGTGTACACATGAGAAATATACGCAGTTAATTTTGATAGTTTTGTATAATCTGTCAGGCTGTTGACTGTGTAACAATCTAATATTACCTAAATCGGTTAAAATAAAAAGATCATTGAGCCAAGTCCATTTTAACCGAGTTCAAAAAAAGGGGGAGGTTCTCAATTCGACAGTTTTTTTTTTGTTATCTCAAAACTTTTTACTGGGTGGACTGGGTGGACCGAAATGATTCTTTCTTTATTTGAAAGCTAGTGCTTGCCGTGTGGTATGTTGATAGTTTAATTTGGTCCAGATCTGGCAATTCATTCTCTGAGAAAACCATATGTCTTAAATTTACATTAAGTATGCGTGATGTTTGTTACCCCAAAACATAGAATATCACTAAAATGTATCAAATAAAAACTAAAAAAAAAAACGGAACCAACTTCAAATATAAAAAGTAGAAAATAATACTTATCTTAAAAGCGGTTAAATGTTTTAAGAAATATTAAAGCCGGGTAGTTAATATTTAATTAACTACAGAAAACAGCCCGATTTTAACCGCTTTTAAGATACGTATTATTGAAGATATTTTATAAAGTATTCATCTAAAAGAAAAAGTTTCTACGGTTAGCAAAGAAGTATTTATGTAATAATACATAACATGCTATCAGTGGCGTGGCTACCAAGGGGCTAGGCGGGGCAGTGCCCCCGGGGCCCTCAAGCTCAGTGGGCCCTCGAATCTTTATCAGAAAATCTCTATCAAACTCAACTTTTGAAAATTTCTCCTATTTTCAAAATAAATCTGGACCTGAAAAGCATTAGGTCGGATGTGCAGAACCAGCTAAAATCGCTTATCGCCATAACGTTGCTACACTCTTTTTTCTCTTTCCGGCAAATTAACTCTTGTATGTTTGTGCCTTTTTACTCATGAGCAACAGTCATGCATAAAGTCGGATCAGACGACTTTTTCAAATATTTTCATTGCATTTAGCTATTTCTGTTTTTATACAGTTTTTATACATCCGACCTAATGCTTTTCAGGTCCAGAAATATGACAGGTGACAACTCGAGTTTAATCATGGCAACTCAGTTGTAAGAAATTCCAAAGTTATAACAAGGTATTCCCTTAAATTATTTGTGTGGGTTGACAGTGTTATTAATATTTATATCAAATGTCGGATATCAATATCTGCATATTATTATTTATCGATATGCGTTTTTGTGATTCGCGATTGTTAACTTCCAGTCAAGATTTTTTTCGAGCAGTGGGCCCCATTTCTTTATTTGCCCCAGGGCCCTAGGTTACCTAGCTACGCCACTGCATGCTATGTCACATCTGCTATAATAAAATAAGAACTGTAAGCTAATTGTCTAATATCAAAATCTATCCCAAATCCTTAACAAAAGTGAAGTGATAGAGTTATATAATTCCTAACTTTTAAAGTCGCCTTCGCTTTTGGAACGAATGATGATAAAAACTTACCTAAACCAGGCGAAACATTTATAGATAGTATTTCGATTAACATTTCTCAAAAGTTTCAAAGGTATTTCGGCCTAGAAAATTCCAATTAAGTTTAATTAACGATATCGTTCATTCAATATTTTTAAAAAAATCGTCTCAGTCGCTATGACATGTCAAATTGAATGGGATTGCGATGCATTTTTAAAATTAGATAATAAACCCTGTGTTTGAATTATGACAATCATTAAACCTTTTTTGTTAAACCACCTGTCCGACCACAAAATGTGAACATAATGACAGAAACAATATCATCACCATTATCAGCGTATTAATGTTCCCAATTTATAATTCGTGCTGTTGTACCACCTAACTGACATCCTGATTCATGTGTCATTATGAAGGGTGAACTGGTCTGGTCTAGAATACTCTGCCACTTGAAGGAGCTCGATGATGCAGTGGTTAGCTCGCTCGGTCTGCGATATGGTTGTTAAGCAACTATCGCAATGGCAGCAGGGGAGGATGTGGGACAAACCACCAAAACCCCTACGGTGTACCCACTGCTGGGAAATGAGATCTGGGGGCAAATTCTACTAAACAAATTTTGTTTAAATCGAATCGAAAACGGATCGAAACCGAACGAAACTACAGTTTTTAATGGTTTTGTGACATACGATACAATTCCAGCTCAAATAGAACTTGAATTGTATCGTATGTCACTTTGTAGAATAGGAGAACCATTAAAAACTGTAGTTTCGTTCGGTTTCGATCCGTTTTAGATTCTATTTAAACAAAATTTATTTAGTAGACTTGGCCCTCTGGGAAGCCTCGATCGAGTCGGTAGGATATTTATCCTATTAATAAATAAATAAATATTGAACAACATCACATACATTGCTCAGATTCCAAGATGAGTAGCTAAAGCTCCCGTATTATGGAGTATCTGAGACAACGAAGATCACACAACACCCAGACCCGAGACAATATAGAAAAGTTCATTTTCTACATTAACCCGACCGGGAATCGAACCCGGGACCTCAGAGATGGCGACACCTTGTAACCGGCGTGCGAACCACTCGGCTACGGAAGTCGTCTATTATATTATACCTAAATGTAGGTATATACCTATTGTTGTAACAAGAACATTTCATGGTAATTACTGTCGAGACGAATTCATTCCACTGGCACCCAACAATCAAAAGCCGTTTGTTTAACTGAATCTAACGAGCAATCCGTAATTTTGTATTCCGTGCAAATAAAAATTCCTATTGATTGACTAAATTGGCATCTATACAAACGAAATCGACGCTTGACTGTTATGTTTCTTTAATTTGAGTGGCCAAGAATATAAATAATATGTTTTTGTCCTACAGATATGATCGGTTTAGACAGGCAAAACTATATTAAGACGCAATTATTATTTTTTATTTTACATATAAAAGAATAAACACTAATAAAAATTAGTTTCCGCTTTATGATCATTCTCAGTAGACATAACCCACCAAACATTGCTAAATTATATTTTACACTGGTAACACCAAAAGTTTTAACTTTTTTCTATTCAATGACGTAGTGCACATACTCAATTCTATAATACTACATTGCTATTCAAATATTCAATACCAGTGGCGGACTATGCAGAGGGGGGGGGGGGGTAAATAAAGTTAAAAATGTATGACCGGTGGGGGGATGTAAAAGTTGATATATAAAAAAATGATAGGAAAGGAAAAAACGCGATCTTTAGTTTTCTTCGAAGATGAAAACATGTCGTCTACGTATTTTAAGTATTTGGCAGAACGCTTCCACTTAATTCGTTTTAAAATTTCAACTACTTATAATATTTCGTTTAAAATGGATCACACCCATTGACTTACGAATAAAAAAATATATGATCTACAATTCGCGGAGAAAGCGGTGAACATTATACAAAAATATTATATATCCATACATAGAACCTTAATGTAACCAATGAACCTCTTTTTAAGTTTGAAAATTATAAGTAGGCAATTATCTTTTTAGAAATGTATCAAAATGGTTATTGACGTTATCTACAAATGTTATCACGCAGAAATAATACAGCTTATGCACCTGGAATTCAGATAACTGTCAACATTAATTGACTGCCAGCGACTGCCCGCATATCATACAAATAGATTTAAAACATTTTAAATACTGGTCCACGTTATTCCACTATATATTCCATGGCAAATGACGTGAGATAAGGCATGTGTAGGCCATAAAAAATGAAGGTTCCGTATTAAGTTCTGCCGTTTTATTCGTTTATGAAAACAGCCTCGAACTCGAGCATAGCAATCACAGCATAAAGGTTCAATCAAATAAAATCTACTTCAAAAGGTAATAAAGGTTTTATTTCGGTTAATTTACCAATGAGGTTGTGAGACTCGGCGTAATGATAAATTTCGAGAAAAATATATGTTTTGTTATTACCGATATTGTAATAGAAAGTGGTGACCCTTTAATCCGCATTGGGGCAGCGCGGAGGGTTATAGCTCATCCTTCTTAATCATCTATAAAAAAGGCCAAAGGCCCTGCAACAGAGACGTGAATGGCTGATGATATCTGATTAATGGAAAGTGACTTCATATTTTTTAATCATTTCCAGTTTTTATATATTCTTTCGGCCAGTTGCACAAACATCTATTAAGGTTTTATGCCAACTGAAAGTCCTCATGAATGTTCTAAATTTGAAAATTAATACCAATAATCTTACTTTATCTAAATAACATCAATTTTAAAAAGACTTTACTGACATTTGTGCAACGGACTGTTAAACTTCGGGTATGTTCCGATATACACTGCGAGCACTGCGCAGTGGTCTTACTGCTGAAAGATCCGTTCCGTTATGGACTGCCAGTACACTGCTACAGTACCCTAGGGGAATTTATGACGTCATAAATTGCCGCCATATTTGTACTGTGAGCACTGGAGATTTCGAGGTAAGGTGCTCGCAGTACTTTTGATCACGTGATCAGTCGAAACAGAAACAGAAAATGATAAGTTTCTAAATATAGACTTAACAATCAATAGCCGTTTGTTGCCTAAATAAACAAAAAAAAAATACTTACGTTTATTTATAAGATGGATTTAATTGATAAATAATTTTTTTATACAATTTTCCAATTTTCTTTTGAAAAGAGGGAATCTTTATATTTATATTCACCTTGTATTAACAAATTTGAAAATGGCGCCAAAAAATAGGATTAACAGTATACTGGACTGCGTTCCGTTTTAAAAAGTCACCAGTATAACTAGCTATAAAGGAACGGGCTTCCAGTATACTAAATTGACGTCATACTGTTCAGTGGTCGCAGTGTATATCGGAACATACCCTTCATTCACTATTCACTATCATTTAGATACCTCAGGAACAAGTACTATATATTTTAAAATATATGTACTTTAAAAAATTATATCAACTTTTAACCATCAGTGGTATTATCGATAAGAACCTCTTGTACATCTATATCACAACTAAAATCAAATAATTATTTTTTTGAATAATACTAATACGTATTTTACTTATCACACTAACTTACATTTTTCAATTAATAACATTATCATTTATAGATTAAGTATATAATGTATATATTTCTTTAATGTTAATGGGTTATTATCTTTAAATGATTTTATCTGAATTGAAATTCTATAGGTAAAAATGGATACACAATCGTCTTCTATCGGGGTAATGAAGCAACGACGAAAATTATATAAAATAAACGTAGGTATTCATCATGAACTTTTTTGGTAAAAGTATTACGTTGAGATATTTGAGCATCTCTTTTTATTTCGAGTTTTAATTTACAGTCAGTGATAATCATTATAAGCAAATGTGTTGTTTTAGTGGGTTGTGAAATGTGTTCTTCAGTAAGAATATCTCCTTCTTTTTTATATCTATCTACAGAACATCCTTCCTTTTGAGTCACTTGTTGTAACTCCGAATTATAAGCGGTTTGGCTTTATATTCGGGCGTGTTTCCAGTCTGACTCCTTATCTTTGGGTAGCTATGTCTATTTCTTCTTTCACTGTTTATTTCCAGGTATACTTGGAATTCGTTATTAGTTATATACTATAAAGCACATCACTAATGGTTCGGAGGATCATATTTTGGGCTCTTTGAAGGTATTGGATGTTAGATTTGCTGGCAGTACCCCAGAGTTGTATGTCATAGGTCAATTGTGGTCTTAGGATAACTTTGATGTTATTGAGCATTTTTCAAGGAAGTTTTATCACAAATGCGATGACGGGCCAGCAATATCGTTACTCCATTGACATAGCTTTGATTCGTATAGGATTGTTTCAAATACGTTCTACATTCAAATATGAAATACAACTGAAGCTGCCGCGTAGTAGCTCTAATTTATTGAGCTTTGAGTGCATTTTATTTGATCCGATGCCAATGAAAGCGAAAATTTATCGAATCATTATTTCGATATTTTTATATTTGCATGTAAATTTTAGTTTTCATACACATCGACTACCTTTCAACTTTTTTTTCAATAAAAATTGATATCATGCCTACAATCCGGACAGGTGACTGGACTTTGGAGGCTTATCAATCATTACATCTCTTATCATCAGCACATAAATTACTCGATGCAGCGGCGAATACACCACGTAAAAATAAGATATTTCTTAGTACCTATCGATATTTTTCTAACTCTTTAAAAATAAAAATCCATTAAAATAAAGAAACATATTTGTAAGTATCTTTATTTATCGCTTCCTGTCAACTATCAAAATTTTCAATATCACATATTAAGTTGATAAAAATCGGTCAACTATTAATGCACTAATGATAATAACAAATTCACACGTCCAGTCCTAAGCACACGTCACAAATTACATGAAAAGTGTAACTCAAACAAAATTATCCGTATAAAGGTAATATTGTCAAGTTACAATCCCTACCACACGTCTTAGGGCTAGTCAATATTGACAGTCGCCTTAATTAGATCTGTAATAGCCTAATATGAAACCGGACAGAGTATTTTCTATATTATCTGATTAGGACTCGAACCCGGAACCTAGGAGATTGCGATATCATGAAGCCAGCGTGCAAGGCGCTTTACCGCAGATATTATAATTGATATTAAATTATAACACTAAAATGCATTATGTAGTAACATTAAATGAGAAGATAATATATAGCATCATAAAGTAATAATAAGTATAACTTTAGCTGTTTATTTTTATAATAATACTAGTATCAAGAAATCATTAACTTATAAACATCATCATCATCATCATCAGCCCTTTTACGTCCCCACTGCAGGGGCTCAGGCCTTCCTTATAAACATATATGACGAAAATAAATAAATGGAATTTTTTATGTAATTATTGCATTCACATTTCCTTACTATCATTAATTTTAATAAAATATTGATTTTAGAATCAAAGCCATAATTCTCTTTATTCAAATTGTTGGCATTACAACTTTTTGGAATAATCTATTACGCCTATGTATTTTTCTTATCCCCATTCAGGATATCATTAGCTGAAAAGTAGGTATAATGAATACGAAGAACTCTACAATATTAAAAGTCAATAATAAACAATCAATATCTTTAATTCATGTATACAGAATATACGACAATCACTAAATATAGTAAAAGTTTACGTTTTTTAAGTTTACTATTATTAAAAAAAAAACTCAACAGTCAGTAAAAAAGTAAACTGTTACAAACTCAACATATTGTTTATTGTTAAAAAAAAAAAAATTATTACTCACTCGTTGTTTTCATCGCCATTGTAAATAAAACTTATCACAAATATATCGATGAATTAAAAAGAAATGAACACGCGAGCAAAAAACTGCACTAACAGAACGCACGTCTCGTAGAAACAATGCTACGATATAACTGCTACGAGCAATGAGATCGCTTTGATATAAATATAGGATTAGCTTAAACTATCCTATTATATTTATTTACCCGCGAGGGTGTTGCTTGTTAAAAATATATATTGTTTTACGTGTGGAGGCGCGTGCGACCTGCGCCAAAACCGAACTGAGAATGTTATGAATTCAGGAGTTGATTATGTCAGGATACGACGCGAAGCAGTTGCACCTAACTTAACTTACGTATTTCTATGTAGTATTTTCTAAAAATTAAATGGGCACTTTTAATCACATAATCGAATCGATTGTAAATAAACCAACGGTCAAATAATATAATAATAATAATAAACATTTATTTCTCTCCACAAACAGGATTCTTACCAAGTAAATGGGAAATAAAACTAAAGTATATACTCCGTGCTTCGGAAGGCACGTTAAGCCGTTGGTCCCGGCTGCATTTGCAGTCATTAATACCCTCCAATCCGCATTGGGCCAGCGTGGAGGGTCATGGCCCATCCTCCTTAACCATCTATAAGGAAGGCCTGAGCCCCTGCAGTGGGGACGTAAAAGGGCTGGTGATGCGATGATGTGATATACTCCTGTCATGAGGAGACTAGTGCCTGATGTGGGTTTCGTGAGAAACCTGTAGACACAGGTCACTAGGGCCTGTGACCTGTGTCTACAGGTTAAATAAACTGCGTTTAAAAATTTGAATATGTATATTGTTATTAATATTGATTTTTATTCGCGTTTATATTCTCTCCTCTTTATTTTGATAGTACACTTTTAGACTTTACCCTTATTACCTTATCACGATCAGTCAAAGGTTTGCTGGAAGAAAACTCATGTTTGAGTTAAGCTTGCGTTTTGTATAAAAGTTTAGAAACTTTTATGTACTATAAAGTATAAATAGATTGAACAGAATAATAATACTCTTTATAGCAAATATATAACATATATATATATTTACATTTAGGGTTAAACAATATTTTGATCATATTTTTTTTTGTCAATAACGGAACAATCTCAACTCTGATATTTAACAATTTTTTTTTTCAAAATATTTGAATCAGTTTTAGTTGATATCCCCATATTATATGATTTAACAGTAATCATTACCGAAACTCGTGCTCAACTGCGCAATGAAATAACGTGTTCAATCTACGATTCGCGCCCGTCACAGGACAAGAAAGTAAACGCATAATAACCCGCAAAATCAAAATTGTTCTTCAGAGCAGAAAATCTTTTGGATGATGATTAATTTTTGTTTGTTTGTCCATCAGGTAGAGTGTTAAAAATATTAAAAGGTATTTTTTATTTTTTTCCTAATCATAAAATTACGGCGTTACATGGAGTTGTAATTTCGCATGACGTCACGTTATGGTACGTTTTCTACTCAACTGACGTAGCTAGCCCCCACTCCTTAACTTTAATGCCTGTTATCTAAGCTATTTCTTGTTAAATTGAAGTAAAAAAATACTTATCTAATATTTTTCTATTATCTGACTGACGGACTAAATAGAATTGCATTTTTTTTTACCCAGTCGTCATCCCTATTGCTATAAACGTCCATGCTAATAAATAAGATGTTCTTTAGTTAATTTATACTGAAATAAGTTTTTTTTGGAGAAATATAAAGATTTTCTAATCTAAATACCAATTTTGGTTTTGCAGATTACTACGAGTTTGCTTTCCAGCGTCGAATCATCTTAAGCTCCACTTTTCGATTCCATTCTTAGAGAAGGGTTATGCTCCAGCGAAGGGTACAGTAAACGCTGCTGAAAATGATTACCGATATTGGGACATGATTTCAGTCTAATTTATAACATTAATTACTTTCTACTCTTTGTTTCTTTTCTTTTCAAACATTTATATTTTTAGAAATACTTACCTACTGACCTTATTCCGCTAACCAATTAAAAGACAAAACTGATAAATTCTACCTTATACAACGTGTCCCAAAATTCAACGATAAGCGGGCGCCAAGAGGTAGACCTGCTCATGTGTACTTATGGAAAAATAAGAAAAAAATTATATCTTATTAATCTTTTTTATTATAAAATTAAATTCGAAAATTTACACCTTTTATGATATTTTCAACTACCACGACCACAACTTCTCAATTATGTTCAATCTTTTTTTGGTATCGGATACCTAAGTAGCACTACTATTCGCTACAACTCTTAAAAACACCAAAATGCTCGCAGTTTTTACATAAAAACAATGAAAATGTATTTTATAAATTTTCGAATTTTATTTTATAATAAAAAAGATTAATAAGATATAATTTTTTTCTTATTTTTCCATAAGTACACATGACCAGGTCTACCTCTTGGCGCCCGCTTATCGTTGAATTTTGGGACACGTTGTATATTGGTAGATAATTTCAAAATTGATTGTAGAAATTCGACTTTTTTAACCCGATATTCTACTGTGAGTACATGATGTTATCTGTACTAATTTATATGTAATAAAAATTTCATTACTGATTAAAATACGAAATTGATCACTAAATCAATCACTCAAGATATGTATATCACTTTAATCCCAAAATTAATGACACGGTCTTATTATAGTTTTGTAGAAATCATATATATAATAGTTAATAACAATATTCAATCTATTATTCTTTTGTTTTTTCCTAGTAATTTTGTGTTATAATCAGTTTATATTATTTTTCCTTGTTTATTGGATAAATTTTGGGCATCTACAAAATCATATTACAATAAACACTATTGCTTATTAAGATAACGATTATATGATAAGGTAGTACAGTAAAACTACTATATAAAAAAAGTTAAATTCATCTAGTACATCTATCTTCATTAATCAAGACCTGAGGGCCAATTCTACTAAATAAATTTTGTTTAAATCGAATCGAAAACTAATCGAAACCGAACGAAACTACAGTTTTAATGGTTTTTCTATTCTACTAAGTGACATACGATACAATGCCAGTTAAAATAGAACTGGAATTGTATCGTATGTCACTTTGTGACACATTTTGTCACTGAAAAGCAGCGATGGTCATAAAAATAACTCTTATGTTTTGTCACGGGTCGTGGAAGTTGCCGATTCCCATTACACGAGTAAATACTGAGAATATTCTGAGCAATATTTTTTAAAGATACAAAAGAGTCCAGAAACATTGGCCACATCGCGGCCACATTCAATAAAATAAACCCTTCATTACCTTTTATTTAATTATTCTAGGCTGTTTTATAACGAAATAGCTCTGCAGTTCTCTGAATAGAAAACGCAGGGCTGAGAAACTTGCAAAACGTTATGAAATGTATTAGACCTCCATCTTACCAAATGTATTGGTCGATTAATGACTTAAGTGAACTATTATCGAATAGTGATACGTGTAGGTCTGGATGATGAATTAAAAAATAATTTATAAGAGCAAAATAATCGTCTAGAAGGTGATGACTGCATTTAATGAATAGCGTCTATTATCAAAACATATTTTATATCAAACAATATCTATGTGTGTCATAGTTGTAATATCATTGCTATTTTAGTCAGAAATCCGAAGGTTGACCACAACATCTATCTTGGAACCCAAAATTTTCAAGAACGGTAGCTCGGTTTCGGAGATCAAAAGAAGAATCGGCATGGCCATAGACGCTATGCTTAGACTAAAAGCATTTTGGTGGTGACTTACTATCGCTGAAAATGAAAAAATGTTTATTTCATCATCTAGACAATATCGTATACATATAAGTTTTGGAGACTCCTTTTAAGTAAAGCTTTGCTTGTATTGAGAGATCCCGATCTTCTATCAACATAACACTGTATACCTATATATAAAGAAGCTTATATTTATGAATAAAAGTATAAACAAAAAGAAAACTTTTTGAATTAAAATGTATGTAGTGCATATGTATTTGTTAGTAATTATATGCGTGCGCGCGGTATGTGTGCGTGTGTGTGTGTGTGTGTGTGTGTGCGCGCGCGCGTGTGTGTGTGTGTGTGTGTGTGTGTGTGTGTGTGTGTGTGTGTGTGTGTGTGTCTCAATGCTCAAAGACAATATACACATTAATTTAAACAACCATAAACAAAATTTGCAGAAACGTCCTAATATCCTCAAAAATGGAACTAATTTAGTATTTTACGAAAATATTTTATGCTTATATCATCATTATTATTTGGCCCCTACTTGTGCAAATCGAATTAAAAATATTTAATTTAAAAATTTCCCTATGAGCATGTATGAAAAAATTTGGTAATGTACGCTCAGAAATCGAAAAGAGTACACCGTGATTATGTGAAGAAAACAGACAGTTATGCAACTGTTTTGCTAAAAATAATTACTATTATAGCTTGTGTTTTAAAGGTACATGATAATATATCTATTTACTGCATACATACCTATATTTGGTTTGTGTTATATAGCACAAGGATCTTAAAAAACTTGTGTTTAGACTATTTATCCCACTAAACAGTTCTTTATGGAAAGCTAGTGTTATTAATAAATGAATCTGGAAACCATGGTAGTGACTCAAGCAAAGCTATTATTATAGCGTTTTTTCGTAATTTAACGGCAAAAAATGTACTCGACCGTCTCAAGTGATATGTAAGAACAAAACGAAGAGCGGAAACAGTAATAAGTTAGGATATCGCGAGCTAAAATAGCTTACGTACAGTCTACAATCAAAAACACATTCCCAAGAATAACAATCGAATATCGCAGGCTTGTGTTTTTTAAGATTGCGATGATAAAAAATTTGTGTTTAAAATATCTTGTTGACCGATGTTAAATGTACTTCCTTTTTTTAGGTAAGTACTGACACCCTCATATACCTGATAATTAGGTATTAGCTAACAAATTGATTACATAATATCGGAATAGACTAAATAAAATTGAAGTTTATCTCATAGCCAGTACAACGTTTGCACATAATACGGGTAAATATCCACATGTCTAGTGATTTTTGTATACATGGGAGTACCTCTATGAGCACAGGGCGCGATGCTCAATAATTTTTCAACATATTAGATACTCTTCATTTCTTTAATCGTTTTATAATTTCTAGAAATTTAAATACAATGCGAAATCTTGCCCTACATCCACATGACTCTATGCGCAAAATTAAAGAACATCCGTGTTTGTTTTAACGCATTAATTGAGAAGGAAAAACAATGTATAATTAAATTAATTAAGTGTATCCCAT